CAAATTAGGTCGCCCGCCACAAACAACCACAAGCCATTCCAAAATTTATTTGATTAAATTAAATACTAATTTTCCTTTACAGAAGCACAACTCCAACGAAGGCGTGTGTCCTGCACGGTGTCGTTTCATCTCTCAAGCATCTCCTCTTCTTACTCCCCCTCTGCCTGCACCTACCCTCTCCCCCATAATTCCTCCTCCCACGATCGTCTCCCAGATCTCCAGGTATCAATTTGATCCTCCGTTTTTCCTTTCTTCCTTTTAATTTCTCTTCTCTGGATTCCGATCTGACTTTGCCCTGCATTTCCAGTTCTCATTTCTATCCGTTTGTTTTCTGGCTCTACGAATTGTTTCGGATTAGGTGTTTTGGTTTTGTATTTTGTGATTCTTCAGCTAAGCATTCAGTTCAAACTTTATTATTATTTTGAAATTTGTTTACATGTAGCCTTCGTTGAATTACAAATTTACTCGTCAGTATTGATCGAGTTGCGATAGTTGACTAAATAGACAACCGGGTTTTTTCTCTTGTGTAAATTTGATCTTGAATCTGTTATTTATGTCTATGATTACTTGCTTGTGCTGAACTTTGAAGTGGGTATAGTAATTTGGGCTTCAAGATGAATTTGCCAGGGTGAAAACTGTCTTTAAGCGGTTGTCTGGGCTTTTGGCCTTTTATGCCGAGTTGAAAGAAAAACCTTCATACTATCGATGTTGTTTCTTTGCGTACTTGATCATAGTTCTTTGATTCTTAGAATTTATAACCTTATGGAGACCAATTCATCTTCGTGTAGGTTAGGTTGTTCGAGGTACAGATGGATAATTTCCTTGGAGGCTTTACAGAGGACTCTACAGCTTTTAATCAGGATATCCTAAGATGTCCATTCTTGAGGAATATTAATGAGCCAACCAATTTCTCATTTTCCTCGTCCATGGCATTCCCAATGCCTGTAAGTTCCTTCTCTCTTTAAGTTCATATTTGAATGTACCTGTCTCATCAAAGATATCAAAATGAAAATTTAGTTTATTGTGTTCGTTCTGTTAATGATTACATTGGTCAGTGTTCAAAAACACATGGAAAAATAGACATGTGTCAGAATTTCCTTAATATTATATGCCCCTAAATTTTGATGCTTCTTCTTCCTAAGTTACAAAAAGTAAAAGTTCACTTCGTTGCTTGTTTTATGCCCCCCTTGTTTTATCACATTTAGTTTTTTGGTATACCTTACAATCTTCAAATATAGGCTGTTGTGAGTAAGGTCTCCCTTGATGCTCATTTTTTCAATATGATTCTTTCGTTTTTCTGATTTCTAGTTTATCTAATGGCTGTTTCTACTCTTGTTATAGGTACGTGGAGCTAAAGGGCCAATTTTTGAAGATGGTCCCAATTTTGATATGGCATTTAGGCTTTTTCATGGTCGAGATGGAGTGGTTCCACTCTCTGGAAGATCAATGCATCCAGAGAGTGTAGAACTAAAACTAGCCTCATCACAGTTCAATCCTTTAGCTGCAAGGGCAGCCACTATTAGTCTCTCATCCTTCGGAGCTGGAGGGCCTTTCAGCTTTGATTCTTTTGCTGATAAGTGGAAAAATCAGAAGAAGAAATTTGAATCATCCAAGAAAGATTCTTCTCAGGTGACCAATTATTAATCTTCTACAGGTTATAAGATAACCATTGAATTTTTTAGTTGCTGAATACTCTACATAAAATCATTTGTTATCCGACTTGGTGAAAATCTAGGATGAATGCTATCGTCTCTGGGCTTATCATTGCGTTCAATTTCAGGGTGGGAAATCGCAGCATGAAGCAGTGGGCAATGAGTGGCTGCAAATGGGGAACTGCCCAATTGCGAAGTCATACCGTGCAGTTAGCAGTGTCATACCGCTTGTTGCAAAAGCACTTCAGCCTCCACCAGGCATGAAATTTAAATGCCCGCCCGCAGTAGTTGCAGCAAGAGCAGCTTTAGCAAAGACTGCATTTGCGAAGAATCTCCGCCCTCAACCGTTGCCAGCAAAAGTACTCGCAATCGGTCTTCTAGGCATGGCAGCTAATGTACCGTTAGGAATATGGCGAGAACACACTGAAAAATTCTCACCCTCTTGGTTTGCTGCTGTTCATGCAGCTGTTCCATTCATAGCTATGCTGAGGAAGTCTATCCTAATGCCCAAGTCAGCCATGGCGTTTACCATTGCAGCATCAGTTTTGGGACAAGTTATCGGTTCTCGGGCAGAGCGACTCCGGCTCAAGGCAGTGGCTTCGAAAAAACTAACCCTCCAGGACTCTCTCAGCAAAACCAACCTTTTGCCGGTGGTTACTGTGAAGAATGGTCATTGTGGCGATATAGAGAGCTGGAATCCTGTTACTGCTCTTCATGTAGCAGGCCCTCCATCACCAACCAACGTGCCCTGCTGATCTCTTCCTCACCATTTATTGTGAGTTCTCTAATCTGTATCCTATTGAGTGTAATTCTTCAATTATACATCAGTCTGTTCATTTGTTTGGCAGCATTTTGACAATTCAAAATATAAATTGATGAAATAAAAAGTATGTGTGTGTGTGAATTCTGAATCTTGGTGGGAATGTAAATGTTGTTCCATTTTGCTGTGTGATATTTTGTGCTGCAAGGAAGATGGAGAGAATTGTGAGACTTTGTGATAAAATTGAATTCAATATAGTCGGCTAAAGCATTCATTATTTTAGTTTGACTTAGAAAAGTAATACGAGTACGACTTTGGAAAACGCATGGCTAGTGCAGTTCAATTTCTGTTTTGCATGCCTTTGTGTCGTTTACAAAGGCGAAGTAAAATTGTGGCGTGTGTTCGTGTTATTCTCTAAGAAAGTTTTGGTTAAATTACAAATTTGATCATATAGTTTAGTCTTTGGTGTTTCTATTTCGTCGCTCTAATTTAGGTTTAGTGTTGGTTTTAAAAGTTCCTACCCTATGATTTTAAAGGTTTCTGTTTCGTCGCTCTAGTTTAGGTTTAGTTTTGGTTTTGGTTTTAAAAGTTTCGATCGGGTTAATCTATTTGGTTAAACATCACAAGTTGTTCATCTATTTCCTTCAATTTCTTATTTCCCCTGAACCCTAATACAATCAAATAACACATAGTAATTCAGATATAAAGCATTAGCTTATTAATGATTTGCAAGGTTTGGCTAAACGATAGAAACTACATTTTAAAATTATCAAAAAAATAAAAAAATTATCAATAAAAACTTGATAGTAAGACCGGACCATTTTTTATAACAAACTTAGGGCTGTGGGATCGAATTCACAATCTCTTAATTGGAGACTCACTTGTGGGATTGGAAAATCAACGCAGGGGTTCGTATGGATTCTAACAATTACCACGACTAAAATCATGTAAAGTTATAATTACTTATATATTTCATACGTACTTCAACCTTTCATATTTATTACAAGAAGAGGATTTTTTTTTCTTTCGGATATTACAACAGGACAGATTAAAAACTTGGCTACACCACTGCTCAATATCTATTGGTGGATGGATAGATAATTTCTGAAATAGCTATTTATGATACAATGCACAGACAACATTAAATCATTTATTGTTCTTGTTTGATAGACCCTCTAATAGTTTCAAAGCTTTTAAAAGTATTTTTAATCTTTACGAGTTGTCTTGTTTGATGTTTTAATATTTAATTTTAAATTTTTCTCTATATTTGCATAAATATATGTTTTTTGCTAAGCAGTTTCTAGAAAGATGAATAAAAAAAGACAAACAGACTTTAATTAAAAAAATTCAGAATATTAAAAAAATACACAAATTAATATAATATAAACATTAAAATAAATAGTTTGATAAAATACATTTTTGATTGAATTAGATATCTATTAATTTCATAAAATTTCGAAAGAAATACTTTTGTTTGAAAAATGATTGTAGATGGTTAACTAAAGGAAAGATTTTTCAATGGGTTGGTAAGAGAGTGCAACAACTTCGCGTGGCAAGCACTGTCCGAGGAGAAGAAGAAAATAAATAAATAGAGGAAGGATAAAGGTTTGAGAAGAAATAGAAAAAAAAATGCCACTTAACCTAAAACGAAATTATAAAAACATCTTAAAAGAAATTACACACAAAATAAATTAAAAAATATCTTTATTATTATTATTTTTTAAATGTCACCAATTGGTTTCAATTCCTATAAGTTCGCAATTTATGTATTTTTGTAAAATTTTAAATATAACATTATATATATAACTACATATTTCTTTTTATGTTATTTGTGTAATTCCCTCAAAAATATATTTATGCAAATATCATTAGTAAGCCAACTGTTGTGTTATTCTTTCATCAGTAACTAATAATAAAGAAGCTATTTAGAATAAATTTTTAAATTCCAAAAAAGTGTCGATTTTAAAATAAATAGAGACAACTAAAATGTTTTAAATTTACCCTAACATTTTTAAAGTTCTGAAATAAACTGCGGATATGCTATAAAATTGTTGAATTAAAAAAAAAAAAGAAAAAAGAAGAAAGGAAATAGGAAATAGGATATATTTGTTTTTACCAATTTTTTGCATATAAATACAACAATTCATACCGATTTGACTGAGTCAAGAAATTGTTGAAATTATTTTTTCCCTCTAGTCTCCTCTTCAAGACAACGCTACTTCCCGCTCTCGATTTTCGCACTGAATTTCAAGGACCAGTGGCCCGGAATCCATTGTTGTCCGCAATAGTTTCTCGGTTTTCACATTCAAGATCAATCCGTACAATGCTCGGAACGTCTTCTCCAGTTATCGGAGTTCCATGGCCCGATCTCAACGACGGTTTGTTCTACAACGATGTCGTTAAACCCTCCGACTCCGGTCCTCTTTCTTTCTATTCAACTTCCTCTCTTCTCACAAGAAATTGCCATTTCATGTTTGTTGATTTGTTCTTCCCCGCGCGATAATTTGCACAGGGAAGGCTTTGATCGAGTTCTATTCTAGCAAATATAAGAGCTCGGCTCCATTGGAGGGGTAGGTCTACTCAAAGTCTGTTAAGATTACCGGATTTTCTCGTGTTGGATATTTCTGAGGTTGTTAATGATCATTACTGAAACTTGTTTTACATCGACTAATGTGCAGCTGGTTGCAGCGAATTCAGAACGAACAGGTACGACGGTCGTTAATTTAGGTAATTGATGACATTTGTGAAAGAGGTTTCAGTGAGGGACATTCTTCGGATTTGTGTGCGTGCCTGTTTATTGCATTTGTCATTGTATTTTAATTTTTAAATATTTTGAAACAAAATCAATTTGGAAAGTGTAGATAACAATCGATGGTCAAATTATCACAGATCCTGAAACAATTCTCAGGTTCTTCGCTCTGGTCTATTTACTTCCAAATGTTATTGGTATAATGTTCAAAGGTTTGCATGACACCATGCGGTATTTTCACATGTTACAAAATCTGTAGGATTGGTTCAGAAGTAGTCTATCGTCGACTTCCGTGGAAAGAACCGGATACTCCATATTTACTGGAGGTTTTATACGAGGACGATGAAATGGTAAATGCATAGTAGCTGGTATTTATTTATTTATTTTGTTATCTGTGTATTGATTGCTTCCAGTTGCCATGAAGTTGTAAACTACCAACTATTCTACAGATTGCTTTAAATAAACCGTCTGGCTTGCAAGTATTACCTGGCGGTGTTTTCCAGCAACGGACAATTCTGACGCAGCTTCAATGGTGGTCAAGAAAGCAGAGTTCCTCCGTCTCAGAAGGGTCGCATCCAGTTCCTGTTCATCGCCTAGGAAGGGGGACCTCAGGTTAGGTTACATAAACTTGATGCTGAACAATATTTCCATTTAATGTGCGGAATCTTTGTTGATATGTATTATTGTGGTTGGATATCTGATTGCTTGTTTGCCTATAAAGCCAATATCAAGTGGATATTGTTGAAATCCTGATATACATATACCATTTAATGCACAGGGCAGTAGTGATTAGTGTTGAAACGAAACCACTAATAGTGACTGCAATGGAATGTAGAAGATATTAATCTTGTAGTGATGACTAATTGGGAAGTACGATCAGTGCTTCTATCAACGTTAGACGTCTCCTTTTTCCTATGTGGTCTGCCATTGCAGTAAGAATTTTTCTTGCCCCCATAATTTTGTGGAGGATAAAATACGTCTCAGTTTATCAGTCCTTCAACCTCATTCCCTGGTCAAAATGAAACACTATTACCTAGATTGCTGTGGAAGTTCATATTTCCAGAAAAGGAATCCGTTATTTCACTGCTTCTTCTACTCTTTGGTTTGATACATATGTGTTGAAACATGATACACTAATCCTATATTGTCCTTCTACAAGATTCCATATATCTTTTTGCCTGTGACTATTGTCAGCTCCTTGCCACTAGGATTTTTCTTCTCTTTTCATGATAGATCAATCCACTATTTAGGAAATGTATTTCATTTGTGTGTTTAAAATGCCTCACCATTATGCTTATTTACTCATCTTTGGACCTTAGGAATATTGCTATGTGCAAAAACAAGGCTCGCTAGAACACAACTTGCTGCATATTTTGCTGATGGAGCCTTTTGTATCGGGAGAAACAGGTAACACCACATCTATTCAGAGAATGTCTAGTTTGTTTGTAATTTCTATTATCCGATGATTTTATTGGCTCCAACCATTTCTAAATAGCTTTACTGGTTCATCATCTTGATAGTAATATTTAACTTTTTTCCATGGTGGAAATTTATGAAAATTTTTCTTTGTTCTTATGCTACATAGAGGTTTATTCTTATAATACTTGGAGTTATGTAATTTGGTGATAAGTTTTTCGTTATGATGCAACTACTACATTTTATAATATAACATGAAGATTCTTCTCAAACATCTGTTAGATGCACCAGCCAGGGTGAAGACGGTTCTTGATCCTGATGTCTACTACATTGCTTTTTTTTTTTTAATAAATAAACCATATTGCTAGATTGCCTAAAGAATGTRAAGTCTGTACAGCAAACAAATAATTATACTGCCCCCACCCCACACCACTACTAAATAACTAAAGGGTCGATGGGGACATTTTTCCCAACTGAGAGTAGTTTCCAAGTTTGATGGTGTCAAGATTCAAAAAGGTTGTTGATGACCATTAACACGACTGTTAAATGATGCTGCTTTCCTGTTTTTTGGTAGAAAAGAAAAAAAAAAAGAATGAATGACTAATGGTAGGAAGTGGCTAGGCTAGTGACCAAGTAAAAACATATAACAGTGGTAGGTGGGTAATTATTTCAGTTAAGTCCAAAAAATAAGCTAGAGAAAGTGCATCATCTTAGGAAAGTATTGAAAATTCATACATCGATAGGATTCCTTGGTGGGGAAAAACCATTCCAAGGGAAACAAGCATTCATATGGATCCAGTTATTAAATTGACGTTTTGTCACCTTAACTGCTCGTCATTTCTAAAAATCTGGATGTTGTCGTTGCCACTTAGAACACAAGTTGCTAGTTCTCAGCTGTTTAGTAAAATTTCAATACTAGCTAAAGTATGATGGTTAAATCAAATTTTGTTGTACAATGAGATAGCTCATGTTGTTATTTATAATTCTTTGGCCTAATATTATTTTAAGGACTTTCTAAGCTTTATATCAATGATTGATTCCAATCAAATGATTAACTTTCGAGCTCCATTTCAGAAACACCAGTATGGTGGAAGGTACGAAGAGGAAAATTTCAAAGATATACCGTGCACTTGTAACTGGAATAGTTCATGATGATGAGGTATATCTACTGATATTTTGTGCATACATTCTTATGGTTGAACTTTCTTCATTTCATCCTCGAAATTTTTTATTGTTCTAAAAGTAGGTTTTATGAATTTGCACCATTTGCTGAGATAGTAATATTAATACTACCATGTTACATGTTAGATTAAATTTCTTGGGGATTCTATTAGCAAGAGTCATTTGTTTTTCTGAAATTACGTAAAAATGAAAATCCGTGAACATATATGACAATTTAAATTTGCTGCAAATAGTTTCAGCACTTTCTTTCTGAATTAGGGTGTATAATTTATTGGGGGTATGATTCAATAAGTGGTTGATGCATGACTGGACTGAATGCTAGTTCTGTTTCCTGTCAAAGAGAAGTTTTTGTTAATTGCTTATGTATGATTATTTTTCTTTATAGGTGAGCATTGACCAGCCAATTGGAAGGATCCATTATCCAGGGGTTGCTCAGGGCTTGTATGTTGCCACTTCCTCAGGTTTTTGGTTGCATCTTATATGCTGATCCAACGAGTTTCATGTTTTTTTGACAAGACGCTTTAACTACCAATAAAATTGTACGAGATAGGGAATGCATAAGTTTTTTGGTGGTTTTTCTTTGAAAGAGGATTGTCATCATTCATGGAGTTCTTGATAAATTTAAGAGGCCCATCATAGTTCTTCTACCGTTCTTGTTTATTTCCATTGTCTAATCTGATTTTTGCTTCAGTAGTTACTATCTTCAACAATCAACCACGTTTACTCCTTTGAATTAATAACTTGAGCAGGGAAACCAGCTTTCAGTAAAGTCGATGTTCTTGAGAGAGATGAACAAGGCAATAACACTTTGGTCCAGGTATCGTATGTTAATGAAAGGATTTCATAACTGCACTTCTCCGCACCTATTATCTTTTATCTTTATTTAAAAGTATTTTGCTGCAGTTATTCACATTTTTGTTTGTATTTATGGTCACCAAAGCACGTGAGTGTTTTACACGTTGAAGTATATCTTGGGCATGGGTATATCTTTTGGTAACCCTCAAGGATGTGTGTTACGTGAAACACTCTAGGGGATGTAGATCTCCTTTTTATCATTGCTATTTTTTCTAATTCCTTTAAAACAGGTTGCTACGGACTTCTTCCGTTTTTTGACTCATCCCTCTCTTCCTTCCTCACTCACTAACCCGACCTAAAAATGTATTTTTACATAACTGTCATTTCTCCATCAGGCATATATTCAAATCATGTTCATATTTTCCTTACCCTCAAATGTATACAGGCGACAGTAAAGAAAGGTTAATAAACAAAGAAAGTTAGGAAGATCAAAGGACTATTGTACTGCGGATCATAACAGGCACAATGCGAAACTTTTATGTTCTCTGCATTTTCTGCTCGATCTTATAACCATGAATTAATTTCCTGGTGCGATGGGATTTATTGCCAAGGTCTCCATTTTTATATTTATTATATATATATATATTTTCTAGAACACCAAGGTTTCAATTCTTGACTTTGTTTTCAAGCATCAGTTAATATTGATTCAGATGCTATTAATTGTTGTTGGAAATCTTTCAAAGAGAGTTTGCCGCTAGTCTAATAATATATAGGTCAAAATTTTCTGAACAAGGAGAGTGAATCGTTTGATGCACCAGAGTTCAAAGAGTTTAAATTATGTCATACATTTTACAGGTAGAAATTCAGTCTGGACGACCCCACCAAATCCGCATACACCTTTCTTCAATAGGACATCCTCTATTGGGTAATGCTTCTTTGAACTTATTAATTCTTTAACTTGTAAATGTTTTGGGGGTTCTTGTTTTGTAGATGAGCTTCTAAATATCTGGCAAATGTGGTCTGATAATAACAGTTAGTTGACTTGCATCTTTGTGAATTCTCAATTCCATTATCTCTTGAGTGCTGGAATTTTGCTTTGCTAAATATTCTTTTCGTTTTCTACCCTCTGGAAGGTGATCCTCTCTATGTTGCTGGCGGGCAACCAAACTGTCTTCATTCTGACTCAGTAAATCAGAGTTTTGCAGAAGACGGGTATGAAAATTTTAGCAATTCTGCTTTTAATAAGGATCATTATTCTTTTTGTTTGGGGAGAATTACGGTATATCAGAAAATATGATGTTTGGTAAATTGACGAGAAGATATAAAACTAAGAACTGGATAAAAACAAGGTTGACTGGTTTCGGAGTAAAAAGTTTGGAATGGAAATGGCATGCATGAAGAGAGATCTGTTCAAACAACAGTGTCAATAATTATGCATTAGTATGCATTTCTTCTGTAAAATATATATTAGTAAAATATTGTCTACCAAAAAGTTGGATTTGGGAATTTCTGTGAATTTGAATATTGATTTCTATTTCTTTTTCCAACAAAACTATAATATACTGTGTCCAGAGGATACCAGAGGCCTACGAAACCTGTGCCTGGAGATTGTGGCTACTACTTGCATGCACATCAGTTGGTCCTTGATCACCCGAGAACCAATGAGGTGAGCTTTGAATTTAGTAATACATATGTGAAGTACTTTCATTGGCTTGTTAAGATATTTGTGTCCTTGGAAAATTGTGTCAATTGTGTCTAGATCTTCTGTTGCATATGCATGGGGAACGGGAAGAGACTGATATTTCATATTATCAAACAACTTCTTTTGTTTTACTGAGTGTTTCCTCTGTTGACGAAGGCTGTCAAAATCATCGCGCCACTTCCTCCGATCCTCCGGACACATGGAGAGGCTGAAGAGTGAAGATGCCAGAAATAGGGTGGATGGATGGATTAGACCCAGAACCATACCCATAACCAGGACCAGGATGGATGTTAGAAAAGAAATTAAGCTTCTTTTTGGAAATTAGAATAAAAATATAATTTAGTCGTGTAATTAAAAAAGAAAAAGGTCATTTGAAGAAGTGCTTGGTTATTCGCATGCTGGATTTTGATTTTGATCCAAACCATAGACCAACTAGCAGTGGTGTATGAAACTGGTGGAAAAATAATTTTTTTTTTTTTTTTTTAATCTTCCTACAAGAGACGGCAATGAGAACCGTCAAATTCTACTATCATTCATTTGACATCAACGAAACTATGATACATGGGGTGCAGCAAAACAAAGCATTTGCTGCTGAGAGCCTCACTCCCTGTTGAAATGATCTCTAAACATTATATCTACTACCACCTAAATCTCTCTTCTATGGGCCACCACCACCCTCTGCTCTGCGTTATTGCATTCGTCATCCTCGTTACAATTCTCTCCTACCATAATTCCTCCAACTGCCTCCTTACCACTACTTACCTCCGACATCTGGGAATAGCCATTTGATTTCTGTTCCTTGCTGATCGGGGAGGAGGCGGATCTAGAGTAATGATTGAATGTAGGATAGCTCGACAGTAGGTTGGTGGGATCGGGCAACGATGAAAGCCCAGTGCGTAATCTGTTTCCATCCCAAATTCCATAACTTCTGGAAGGAGCATCCTCCTGATTGAACTTGGCAGCACTCAAGTTTCCATGGCTACCGACTTTCAATCTTCGCTTGAACTTGTGAAGCTGCGTCCGGTGGTTTCCATTCTCACTGGTTCCAGATTTTGAGTTTGGCGAGGATGAGGGATGGCTGAGTATCTGACCGAATAGTCTCACGTCACCGTTTCTGGATGATGGCTCGGAATCAGACAAACTGCGTGAATGCACTCTGACATGATGATACCCTTGTCCATGTTTCGGCAACGAGTTGACACGAGAATTTATGGGTGTTGAAGAACTATCTACTGCATGAGAATCGACTTTTTCACGTCGATCCTTGCTAGTATCTACATTGCCCCTCTCCAGTTGCTCCTTGGTTCCCGGGTCTGAAACTTTCGAAGTAGAAAAAACTTTCAAATTCGGTACCCCATAGTTGTCAATTGCAGCATTTCCGAATCCAACTGATGTTGTAGTTGGAGCAGAAGCACCTTGTTCTTTAGCAATTTCGTCTGCAGCCATGGACACGACTGCATGATGCTGATTACGTACCAAATCCTTCTTGTCATTGGCAGAATTCATAGACTGGCAGTTGTCATCGAAAGCTGAATCCGAGCTGTCTTTTTTATTGCATGCATCAGACACCACAGCATTCCCAGCAATATTACTAGGACAAATCTTTGATGATGGATTACTTTCTTTGACTTCCTGATGGGCAGACTGTCGATTCATGGACTCTGCTTCCCCACCATTTATACTCGTCACAAACTTCGGCAAGTCTTCCACCATCCGAGAGCCAGCCTCGTGGCAACCTCCGTTAGCATCGCACTCGTGTCCCTTTGCTTTATCATCACTATCTGGAGGCATTTTCTTTGCAGTACATATCAAATCCAACCCAAGGCACTTCCGTGCTTTGCTGAAGAAGATCTTGCACTGATCTGTGGATTTTGTTCCTACATGTGTAGAGATCATTGAGAAATTCTTTCCATAAGCTCTCACTGCTTCTATGAAAAGCGACTTCTCCCCATCAGTCCAATAAGAAGGATCCATTTCTCCACAGCTCTCGTCTGAAAAAATCTCATCATCAATAAACCGTGGAATATTCGCTGTCATTCGCCGTCTTAATACAGTTGTCGCACCCTTTTTGCACTTCAAATCCTGAGAACCGTCTCTTCGGTCAAAATTACTAGTGATACATGAACCCATGGCTTCTGAAGACAGGGAACCACATATACCAGCTAGCACATCAGCAGCAACTTTCTCTCTTTCATTTCCAAACATATGAAAACTCTTGGCCCTTTCCGATAGACCATCATCACATTGAGTTGTGTGATATGCGGTTCTTCCGCTCGACCTGCTGCTTGAATACTTATGAGCACAAGCTGTCATCGCTGAAGCAGCACCCAACAGTTCAAGAGAAGCAGCATTTGTTTCAGGATTCCATTTCTTCCCTGTTGTCACCAAATAGGTACTGGTTGAGGACTTCGCCTTCTTCCCAAACTCCAGCTTCTTTGTTTTCTCAAAGCAATCAGATTTGTGGTTCTTGTAGTAGAACTCAATACAGTCTGCTGTCGTCTTGTGATCAAGAAATGTGGCAATTTTCCCAAAATCTTTCCCGAAACATGCCAACTTCTCCATGAAAACATCTTTCTCTTCGGAGGTCCATGGGTTGATCATCATCCTCTCCTTCTCAACAGCGCACGGGTCCTCAACTAACCCATTATTAGAGACGAATCTTGAAGCCATCTTACCCTTCTGGTCCAAAACTAATGCGGGCATCTTCAAGGTCCTCCGGTACTGCTTAACCAGGGAATTAGAAAGCTGCTTGCTCACATGCCTAAGAATCGCCGTGTTAGAAACGGGGTTCGGATTTCCTGCTGCAAGGCCAGTTTTAAAATTCAAAATGATAATATCAATTGTATCACAATAGGAGATTCTCCAAAGATGTACGCCTCTCCTGATTTAAAGAGGAAAAAAAATTTACATGAATGCTAACTAAAGATGTAACTGAAAGGGGGAAAATCCACAAACTGATATGTAGAATAACACAAGTGAGCGTTGAAAATTACAAAATTAGTTTGAACATCAAAGATAACAAAGCATGCAGTAGAACCCTATCGAGTTTGAACATCAAAGATTGGAGGAACAATAACATATCGCATTAACATCGGCAGCATGCTTAAATTAAAAGTAACATAAGGATATCACTCAAACGTAGCAATTTGATCAATCATCTGTCATCATATGTTTACATCATATAGCTATATGTCATAAGTCCTGTTAATAAAGACATCCATAATATTCAACACCATGTAATTATCTTTTTATTCAAGATGTAAAAGATGCATACACAAGATTTTTACGACAGCCATCCATCAGTAGGTAACAATAAATTGCATGGAAACTCAAACGAGACTTCAGATGAAAGATTGGATACTTTAGAAATTAAACAGTAAAGCATGACAAATATCATCAGAACATCCATCATGTTATAGACCCACGTACAAATCCTCCTCCCACTTCCAAATAAGTCTTATTCCATAAGAAACAGAAAGTGAAGGAACTTATTTAACATCTCAAGTGCATAACCGCACATATGGTTCAGCATTCCAAAACTAGAATATGAGAATCAGGGCAGATATGAAGTTTATCATACAGGGTTTGACGTTTGTGGTAGAGACACAAAAATGAACACAGATATGAAGTTTATGCATTAAAAAACACCAGTTAGAGTTTCAGATATTATACGGAAACCGATACCCATTACTGAGAAAAGTAGGACCAAATTGTACAAAATGGAAAACAGAGGCAAAATCTCAGATAAATAAGTCATAAACGTGGGGTAAGAAGAAGCAAATCATCAGAGCAAAAATCTTTTTAAAATATTCTTGAACGTAAGAAAATAGATTAGATGTCTCCGTACCAGATGAAGGAATACGGACTCGAATGGAAGAGCGGTTCTTCTGATAACCACTGTAATTGGTCCACAAACTCAACTGATATTTTTTCTGAGATTTTGCACGTAACTTCCTTACAGGTGGCACATGCAAACTCTCCTTCCACAAGGACTGGTAGGCTCTATACTTAAGGGTTATTACTCTCTCCTTAAATCTTAATAACCTCTTCTTCTTTGCATATCTCTCTCTCATTAAACATTGATTCTGTGAGCAAGAGACATTTGTGCTCCAAATGTCAATTTTATGTTCATTAGCAGGCAACATGCTGATTAAAGCTTCAGACGCCCTGCATGCAGATTCTTTATTGGATGCCAGAATTAAATTGAACAGGCTATCTCCCCCATCATCAGATTCATTTATATCACTAGAAATGGGTTCTAATGTGACAGCTTCCCTCTTAATAAGAATGCTATTGTCAACAGATGGCACAACATTATCTCTAACACTGCAACCAGATATTGTTAGCTTCTCTCCGGTGATGACAGATTCCATTGCATCCGACCTCCCAAACCTACCGACAGCCTTTTCGTTGACATCCGTATGCACTTCTTCCGAGTCACTTGTGGAAAGTAACGTCTTTTTTGAAATATTATTCTCGGAAGTAACAACTGGCAGGGTAGCAGCTGGAGGGATCATATTAGAGAAATCACTGTGTTCCTCAAAGTTTTTATCCCCAGTCATCAAAGAACTGGATGCTAAAGGAAAAGAAAAGGAGCCCTTACTTTCAGATCTCAACCTCTTCAGTTCATTTTCCAGTAAATCAATTTCAGACTCAGTCGTCTCCAACACTTTAGAAATTTCATTTTTATATATAAGTAACTTACTCATGGCAGTGCAACTCATAATACCAGGATCCACAGAAATCGAATCATTAGATTGCAGCAGTTGAATGAGTGGAGAGCCCAAATCATCAATTGAAAAGTTATCCAACTTCTCTAAATTAAAGGATGGTTCCTCGCACTGGTTCTGAAAACCAGAACCAGGTGAACCATGCATGTTACTGACATCGTTATCACTAGCTGCCTTTCCGGATGATTTTTCATCCCCACCTGAACAGTTTAACACAGATGAAGAAGTTGGATTTCAGTAAAATATACAACACACTTCACTTGATAAAAAGAAAGAAAATAGACTGGCATAATTACGACATGGCAGTATTTAAAAGCACGGAAATTTTCAAAATGAAATCCTTTTCTATAGATGCCTTAGCATAACAAGAAAATTTCCGAAAATAATCACTAATGGAAGGTGTATGCCATTGTTATGGATATTACAGAAATAGTAAATGTTAGGCACACAACAAAACCCAAGGACAAATTAGCCGGACAAGTATCACTCTGGTTTCTCTTCATTCTCCATTAACTATAAAAGAGAGTTGTGAAAATAAAACTATTAAAAGTGTATTAAATAAAGGGAAACAACAATACAACAATCATTATATGGAATTGTCAACCATCAAATCATTGTTGACCTTTATTGTGATCTCGTCTTCAGTTCAAGTATTTGTATCTCGCAATAAATATATATCATCCAAAATAATCTCCTGCTTCGAAAATGCCCATCTAAGTTTATACATTCCTATTTCTATTCTCTTTTATTAATCTGTCCCTTTTTGAATAAATAAAGAGAACCATACGACAATCATTAGAAGGAATTCTTAACCATCAAACCATTGTTGACCTTTCTTGTGATCTTGTTTTCAGTTCAAGTCTCTCTCTCTACATACATATCTTCTGAAAAGCCTCCTACCCTTGATGCCTATTTCTGTTTCCTGTTTTATAATCCGTCGCTCATAGTTTATTAGCATCTTCTTACTCATTTATCCCACACCACCGCAAGAAACTTTTTGTTTTCCTTCTCCTAACATAGCCCTTAGGACAAAATAAAAAACTTGATTGTGAGTCTTCTCCTCCCCTTTTGTCCTCCTAACGCTATGAATTTCTTTCTTACCGCATCTCTCAAAGTCACCCACCCTTCCCTCACTAATGCCTCTCTAATTTTAGTTATTCTTGCTTCAAGTTATGGTACTTGACAAAAATGCAATCATGATTTCTTACACATTATGGTCTCCTCTCCCACAATAAATACACTTAATATTCATCAATTGCTTCTTTCAACACTGCAACCAGTAGCATGTGTGAAACATTGAAATATTATCACTTGATAAACACCATAATGAAGTGAAAAAGAGCCCCACAAAAGCAAAAACACAAGATCTCTGGCTTACCTGGAGAGGAACCACAAACGACAGAAGAAGGGGTCGCAGGTGAGGTACAATCCGAAAACCCTGAACCTCTAGGGCCTTTTTCAATCAAGCTGGAATTAAGAGAATGGGTAGATTCTGCATTAACATTTGTAAAGGCAGTACCATCAGGAACTTCAACCTTCTTTTTTTCATACTTGGCAAGCCCCTCGCCCCATCCTAGCCGTGGCTTCTTCCTGACAGTTGTCTCATCACATGGCATAGAAGACATTGCACACTCAGCAGGATCAGCAGAAGGAGATAGATTTTGTGACTCATTTTTCAACACTGTCTCAGACTTTGTCTCATTAGAATCTAAAGCATCAATACTCTTTGTGCTACTGGAATGACCTGATGTTGAAGTGCGTGAAGATAAGCCACCACCACGTGTCCATTTAAGAGGCTTCCACCCTGAGGAACTCACTGAATACTCCCGATCACGTCTCTGGTTTGTGCCTAACCCATTGACATCATCGATCTTATCATGCTGGCCTTTTACCTTATCTCGTGGGTTTACAAAGTCAGAATGAGAATGAGAGGGATATATCAGCATATCGTGAACTGACCTCTGATCATAATTTAGATCATGCTGCAGCCTACCACAATTGTTTGTAGACCCGTTACTTGTTGCCCAGGAATGACCTTTCCATTCTCTTTGACTAAAAGATCTGTTTTCCCTACCATTCCTAGCGTACTTCCCATCACCATGTGAAACAGATGGCCGGCTACTAACATTTTCCAGCATCTTGTTACTGAATGACATGGAAGGCCCATATCCATGACCATATTCGTCAGAGAACACATGCCAACCACCCTGCCTACCATGACCTTCAGAAATATTTCAAAAAAGACAAAGAAAATGCAAAAGAAAACACAATTAATACAGTCAACGGACGCCCATAACATTAGCTGCGAAAGGTTAAACAAAATTATCTGAGCAGAGCAAGTTATGCAGCCAAGCCTACGTTTCTAGTTGAGACTAATACAGGACAATAAACCTCGGATCTAAGCAAAAAATTCACTATTATATGATAAATACTTCATAAATCATGATAATTATATGATGAACACTTCGTCACCAGATTTATCAGGAAGATAGGATCCCAGTTAACAAATGTACAGAAGGAAGACTTCTCTTTGGTTTCAATCAAGCAACATCATAGTACATGATTGGAACTACGAGCCTCTATAAAGAGCCCGCAGGGGATGAGATGTAGATATCTTGAATCGTTGAAGGCTTAAAAACTCAAAGAGAAATCAGAAAGGAAACCTGCGACTCTATAGCTCACCTGGCGGTCTGCGAAAATCGCCTGATCCCCACCTACTAAACTCACGGGATCCGTGACTAGATGAGTCTCTCCATCTAGGTACAGGTCCGAGAAACTCTGACCTCTCGTGTTTCCTCTCCTTGAAGAAGTCCTTCCGATCCCAGGGCAATGGTTCAGGCGGCATGAAAATGAGGCCAATAGCATGGGCACCCTCAAAAGAACAACCGTTTTCAACGCACAGCACAGGGAGCGCGCCGAATAGCACCGCCGGAAATCAATTCAACTAATCCGGCAACCATGACAAATAACACGTCTCATGAACCGAAACTTCTTCACATTAAAGATCCTAAACCATATCGTGCTAAGACATACGCCAAAGAGAAAACAAAAACAAAAACAACTCAAGAAACTCGATCGCCTCTGCCTTCTCTCACTGGGACGCGTAACAACGAGTATATGCCGATATGGCAGTCACAACGAGCCACACGGATGCCCCCGGACCAAATCCTTGAACAGAAACCACCAAAATGATGAAGAAAACAGAACACAAACCAATACAGGCGTATGCGATAAAGACTGAAACGGCTGAATTCAAAGGGTTTGGAATTAGATGGAACCGACAATGCCGATTGAGAAGCCCTGCGGCATCCACATGCAAAACCTCAATTTCAGTTCAAGTTCGCCATCTCCGCCCTCCGAATCTCCCCGGCGACCGTCAATCTCCGAACTCTCTCTCTCTTGGCTGGCGGAAAATTTTGCCTCCGGAGCGAGAAAGTGAGAAATCGAGCCGATAAGGGACAAAAGAGAACCCTGACAGAGAAGAGAAAGGGGGGAGATTGGTTCTCCGGATCTCAACGCCACTCTCAACCCTATTCGATTATTTCTTTTCGCGTCCGCCAATTTTCGTAATTATTTTTTTCCCAAATTTCGTCATTATTCTTTTTTCCTTTTTTTTTACTTCGGCCCCTCTTTGTGCTTCCGTTTTCTCTTCATTAGTTCTAAAGTTTCGCCTGCTTTCGGAGCATAATTACGGAACTGGCCCCATCAGCTCTCTGTTGAAATTACTACATTGCCCTTGACTCTCTATTTAACTCGGAGCCTCCGTGTCGCTCTGGTGAATATCGGCCTTCCGACGTCGTTTTGGGCCATGTCACTTCTAATTTTGAAAATTCACAAAAATTATGTTAGTTTAAATTTTCCTAAAATTGTGGCCAATCCTAAATTTGTGCCTTGATTTTCAAATATAACAATCAGTTTGAATTTCGATTTTTCCTTTTTCTTTTTCTTTCAGAATTTTGAATTTCGAAATGTGTTTTAAGAGATTTGTTCGTTTGAACTTTATAGAATTTCCAACTTTTCATGTAATGTGAAGGAATTCAACTATAAAAACTAAAAAATATGTTATATTAAATTATTAGTATCGATGAATGTTTCAATAAAATGTTTTTTTCTTTTTGTTCCTTAAAAGAATAATAAAAAGAAAGTTGGATCAATTTTTTCCACAGTAAATGTAATTGGTTTGTGTTGATGCTGAAATCTAATCGAGTTGAAGAGTTGAGTTGGGGAAGCTTCGTTATAGCAATAATCAATATTGCCTCTAAAGTTACTTGCAACATTGGATTTAACATGTGTGTGGTCCTCAACCTTAACATCCTCACCTTGGTGAAAAGTTTTTGTTCTCCTTTTATCAGAGGGGATACTCAAAGGCACATCCCCCAATATCCAATTCATACTATCGAGTCGTCTAACGACCCTCGAAGATCGTCTGTCAAGAAAATCCTTCCATTGCTGCTAGCCAATGATCGATCTAGAACTTCATGTTCGAGGCCCTGTGGGTCGATCGTGATTGTACAGAGCCCAAGGCCTACGTGGTCTCTTGGGGATGACCACGTGGAAGGTACAATTATATCCATAACAGTTTGTCTTTACACTTGTATTTAGTTAAAAATTGTGAAATGGAGATCGAAACATTCACCTTTAGATGATAATAGATATATTATCTACCAAGATATATATATGTTTTATGCCTATGTATAGTTATTCTCTATTAACCTTTTTTTTTCAACAATGATCGTTGAGATTTGAACCCTACCTTTAGGATGTAAGTAATATATCTGAATGATTAAATTATTATGCCATTGTTTAACCATAAAATCCTAAGGGACACGTCATACGATTTCGACCCATGTAGCGCGAGGTCGGGTAATGGCCGAACTGAACACAACCGAATAAGGCTTCGAGATAAACAACTTACTCCTTGTGAGTTTGCGGCACTTGAAGTCTCCAGCAACAGGGGTCTCAAAACAATTCAAGCGAAATTTGTATTGAGCCTTTTTAAATACTTGATGGGAGACGATATCAACTCGGAAGAGAGGGGAAAAATGAGTTTTGCATTGCACTTTGTAGTCTGATGGTAAACGCTACTTCGAGAAAGTTCGAATGGACTGTTAGAATTTTCTCAAAGTAGGGGGCTAATGTTTAACCATAAAATCCTAAGGGACACGTCATTCGGTTTCGAACCATGTAGCGCGAGGTCGGGTAATGGCCGAACTGAACACGTAACCGAATAAGGCGTAGAGATAAACAACTTACTCCTCTTTTTACGCCACGACAGCCAAACCACTCTCCCAATGCAGTTTTCTATTTTCATGGAAAACTAACTGCATAATTCAAAAAGGGAGTCAAACTCATCAACGGTCATTTGACCACTACCCATCTATAAATACCACATGGTTAAATGAAGTCGGTATGTGAAAACTAGTTATGATACTCTTTAATTAATTTATTTGGCATAGAGACTAACTAGATCGTCGGAGTGCTTACTTGTTTTTGCAGGTTCAAATCCACTAGTGTTCTCAGGATTCTATTTTGATTGCCGGTTAATTTTTTGTAAGAACGGCCACCATAATAATAATATGTATTTTTAAATGTTAGAGGTTTGAAATCCTTATCATCGCTCCCTTTATTTAGATTGAAAATGTTGATTAAATGATAATGTGACATGATTATCTCATTTACTAATTTGACACAATGTGACAAACAAATTGTAAGAAAATGAATAATTTAATATTGCACAATTGCAACCTATAAACTCGGCATCACGATAACTATAGAACCTAGATTATTAAAATACTATCGCTTTTCTAATAGATGAGAGGAGATAACAAAATGATATGGAAGGACTACATACATAAATAAAGTTACAGGAAATAATGTATATTTGTTGCATGTTCGTATAAAAATTTATATGTTCAATCGTTCAATTGTGATGTTTCGCAAATCAGTGATTCTAATCGTATTCCCTACCTACACTTCAATGGTTACTTTTAACGTATAGTCTAACCTTCTTTAAATAGAACCGATTAAAGTCGACGAATATTAACCCAATTTTGCAATAATATAAATACATGTATGCACGTATGTAAACCGACGCATCACAAATATTTAATGGTTCTTTGGGTGCTCATACTTGTGGAAGTAATGCATTCAATACTATCACATAACTACGTAAGCTTTTAAATTATATCTTAGGTACCTTATCTTATCAACATAAAATAGTAATATATTTATTGAAATTCTAAATACTATTTATTTATTGAACATCAAAGCTTAATGATTAAATGTTCTTAAAAATAACATTATCTTAATATATATATATATATATATATATATATAATTACAATATTTAAAACGCAAGGGGCTGTTGGTCCGTTTGTTTTGTAGAAATCTAAGATATTCATCGGACAATCTAGATTGTCGAGTGCATCAACTCGTTACATTTTTGCCTTTCATTTTTTCGCTCCATATATTTTATCAATTTTCTTTACTTTATTTTTAAATTTATAATTTAAATAAGTTAATATACTCATCGTCTAATTAACAATGCAATTAAGTATTTATTTCGAGTATATTTGTATATTAGATTACATGTAAAATAAGATGCAATAAATTTTTCTACGAAACAAACGTGTCTATTTAAAGATATTGAATATCTATTTTAGACATTTGTAAATATGGGACATCTACATCCTAAAAAACAAACAGGAAGAAAACTTTAAAACCCCTAGCATTTTCATGTAATTGTTTAAAAATACAAACCAAAATGCGGCCCCTCCATTCTTCTTCTTCCACCCTTATCATATCCATCTTATAGATCGTAATAAATAACTAATATTATAAAGACATAATCAATAATTTATTATTGTCAAAGTGAGCATAGCTCAGCGGTAATTGGCATATACTTGGCTGTGAGTTCGAATCTTCTCCCCAACACGTTGTACTCAAACAAAAAAAAAATCTATAATTTATTATTTGATATACTAATCATATTTATGTGGTATGATTAACTAAAAAAACGTGATGTAATTCAAACAAAAAAAACCCTTCGAAACAGGACTGAATGGAGAAGAACTACGGAGACGTAAAGCACGTACGAACGGCACGTGCGAAGTCACAGAATTATCTAAAGACGTGCGCGCCACGCATGCTAAAGGTCGAGTTGGGCGCGTGAGGGAGGGCGTAAGTTATGCCGTCGCGACGAATCTTTCCGGCATCTTCATTATCTGTCGGCGATATCCGGTTCTCCCGAGCCCTAATCCAGCAAGTGCAAGAACCACAAGCCGCCACGTGTTTTATTACTTTTTCATCGAACTGACGATACTACCCCCGAGGCTTTTGTTGTGGGACGTGGCTTTGACCGTAATTTCGTGAGTGAAGGTGAACGTTCCCAATTTAATGTAAAATTAAATGCCTTCGCAAGGAAACAGAAATGAAATGAAATTCTGCAAATTAGTTTTTAATATTATATTTTCTTTGAGGCAAATGAATGCTGCGGGAGTATCAGTCATTAATGCCGCACCGGTGGATTTGGAGCGTGCTGTTAAATGCTTACGGCTAGGGTTTATTTATTTTTATTTTTTTATTCTCCTTCTTTCTTTGTTTTTTTCAAAGTTTTAAAATTTTTTATAATCATATTTTGATATACTCATCTTTACAATTTTCTTTTAATAAAACTCATATCTACCTTTTTTGTAATAAGAAAAGAGACAAAAAAAAAAAAAAGAAGTAATCTCTAAACTAATTATATTGAGTTAGAATTACAATTTACAAGTAAAAATAGAAAATACTAATCGAATTAATTTGTTTATTTGATTTAGGATTGAGATTGAGTCAGAGTTCAATTCATTTAGTCAACTTTCAAGTGTGACGAGCAACTTCTAAGTGTTTTCAACCTTATCTGACTTGGTTAGTTTGATTTCTCAAATGCAACACGTGGTGGCTGTTAAACTAAACTCAGGTTAATAATTTGATTTTTTTTAATGATTAATTTGATCTTTAAATAAATTATATATGAGCACAACAAATCGGATATATGGAAGTTTGAACTTACAATATCAAATAAATGAATAAGTGTTAATTACTGCTGAACTAACTTATGTTGGCGTGTATATACATACACACTAACTTCACACGCAAGTATTTTTATATAATTTTTGCAAACTATTCTAATTTAATAAATTATGACTACTTCATACGCATTCATCCTTGGTTGCCATTTACAATTTTTCATTTGATTCAAAGTATAAGCTTCTAGATAGAAAAATAAGTAAAGAACATCCTCCACTTCAACAACAATCATTCATATCTAGAGCCAACATTTTATTTATATGAAAAAAACCAATTAATAATTATTTAAAGATACATATATGTCTTTTTCCTAAACAATAATAATATATTAACTCTTATATATTGGAGGAAGAAGATTATGAGAATCCTGTGTTAGAAATAAAACAATGAAAGAAATATATATGACTTGTTTTGACAAGTTTAATTTTTAATCTATTCATCTCGTACCTTTCAAAAAAAAAAATATATACATTATCTCGTATCAAAATTCTAAAGTTCTATAGTACTAAAAGGAAATTATAAAGTTACCAAAAGTGAATATAGTTTTGTGATAATTGACATGTATCTCGAACCAAAAAATTATGGGTTCGATCTCCAACTCCCACATGTCATACTATAAAAAAAATTTTATAAAATTCTATAGAAAACATTAACTTGGTAAAATTTTCATTTGATATGAGTTATAATTTAAACTGCTCAAGTAAAGAAAAACAAAAGAGAGCATTTTATAGTGGTATATTGTATTTGTAATGGAGTAGGCATAAAAATCACTGGAATAAAAGGCTTCAACATTCATTATTATGAGTCAAAACGAGCGTAGCTCAACAATAATTGGCATTTCGATCTCCCATACACACATGTTGTACTAAAAGAAAAATCATTCATAATTCAACTCGACAGCAGCTTAAAATAGATGTTAACTTTAACTTTAGAGCGTATGTAGCTATTTACAGATCGTAATCTGACTTATACACGATACATTTGAAAGGAGATAATCAAACCAGAATATAATTTCCACTTCCAATAATGAAAGACATCAACAATACGACGGAGAGGCCCAATAAGAAAAATGGGCCTTTTTGGGTCCAACAAGCATGAAGTAGAGTTAAGAATAACTTAGTTGTGTATGAGATAAAACTTAAAACCATATTTAATTCAGCTTTTAAATCCCAGTTCCTAATTATTAAGGTAAATAGAATTAACTTGTTAATTGTGGACCACACTATCTCCTAAAAAGAGAAATTATGCAACAGGGTTGGAGCAATTTTATATTATATTATTGATAAACTGAACTTACATTGAACAATTATTAAGGAGCAACTACGACGGTTGTGGTTACTACATTATATAATTTTTGTTCCTAAGATAAAACTTAAAAGCATATTTAATTCCTAATTATTAAACTAAATAAATCTAACTTATTAATAGTGGACCAAACCTCTCCTAAAAAGATAAATTATTCAAGACAGGTTGAGGCAAAATGACTAGTGATTCTATGTTATATTATTGGAGGTGAGACAGGGAATTTAAAAATTATATTTTGAGTTACATCAAACGGTCAGTGAAGACAAACAAATTTTGAACTTACCCTCAACAATTATTAAAGACCGCCACAACTCGCGACTGCATTATATAATTTTGCTCCCCCATTTTCTACCGCAGCATTCCATTCCTTTCCTACTACTGAAATAGAAAGAATATGCTATGACCAAATTACGGAAATTCAAAGTTCTTTGCGTGCCTTTAGAAATTTGATAAAGAATAGATGCCTCTTCTTTAGACTGGCTTCATAATGGCACTTTCGTAATTATATATATTAATGTAATTGCTCGAATATGGGACCCGATTTCTCTCACTAGGGGAACCGACTTCAAGTTCGAACTCATAACCTCTTGTTGGTTGGAAGTATATGCCAATTACCGCTGAACTATGATCGCTTTGACTATTAATGATTAATTTTATTCATGTATTGGTTGTTTCTTTCATGATTTTAGGCTACAAATTTTTCGTTCGTGGTTATTTGTAAAGTTCTGGAGGAAAAAGAAAACTGTCATTTGTTATGAAAATATTTGCCCAAAAAAACTATTTAAAAAAAAAGTCATTTATGAAGACACGGGTGGAACCATAAGTATATAATATCAACACTAACAATTTCAGGGTGGCAAACTAACGTAAAAATTTTGGTCACTATGTGAATAGAACTTCATAAACTTTAAAACTTTTAAAGTCTAGAGTTTTAAAAATATTTAATAAGCCGTCGAACTTTCAATTTTATATTTAATAATTAATAGATAATTTTTCAATTTTCTAAAATATAATTTATGAGACACTTATCAGTACATTCATATACTTTTTAAATTTTAGGGATTTATTATTTTAGGGATTTATTAGAAGAAACTTTCTTCCTTCCATGCTCCGCCATCCATGCCAAGACAGCTAAAAAGAAGGAAAAAAAAAGTGATTTTGGAAAATTA